AACTCCATCTTTTTACCCCAATTCCAAGTTATATGTGGATTACGTTCGCATATTTCTATACATAACTCCAAAATTTCATAGACTTAATTGTGAATTACAACAAATCGGTGGTCACTGTAAACAGCATCCTTGTGTTTTACAAATTGCTCGTTTATGTTTAGAAAAAGCATGCCTTGTTGGTTTACCACACAATTACACGTAAGCAGCCACATTCGTATTTCCAAAGGAATTCTTAGTTATCTTTGATAAATTACAAGGAAACAAATTTCTTTTACAAACATTTTGCAATATGTGCTGCATATTGTCTTTCTGGAAAAGTGTGCACTGCGGCGTGTCCCTAAATGACACGAGATATATCCTGGTACAGCACCACATTATGACACATACATAATGATAACCTTACCCACAGAGTACCTAATTATGCTCTCTGCCGACGCAGGAGACCTCAGTTTTTCTTCCACAGTAGCTGTGTGTGCGCCATGCAGCCATAAGTCTATTTCTAAATGACTACTGTTGTTAGTACTTCAGCGTGGCAATGAAGAGGTCATGAGGTCTGACCTGATGTTCACACATCTCTCAGCTCCACTTGACAGGAAAACCATTGACCACTTAACCCTGCTCTGCTAGTGCTGTTTTTCATAGCTGATTTTCATTAGGTCAAGCTCTCTGGGTAACTTTAGATAAAACACAGCCACATCAGTTTCTTTGTAGCACATCTTTGAAGCTGTTTATCCTAATAATGTGTTCTTGAAGTGCATAAGTAAGGTGTAAACTTGTTGAAACAGTGCTACACATTTACATATTACCATTACTTTTGTGCAGTCAGTTTCCTTGTGGCCATCTTCACAAAAGCTGCCCAAAGACACAGTTTAAGTACTGTACACCGAGTGCAGCGGTTTTCATGTGTGGGTGTGCTTAGGCATGAGAAATGCATTTTACTGCCAGAATGTGAGGACTTTTTATTAGGAGATACTTCCTCAACACTTCCTAAATGCCCCTAGCTAAACTTTGGTTTGGTAAATATTATATTGATTCTTAGTGTTTTTATCATTACTATCAAGAATAATGTGGCTGTCTTAGGCACAATATACTGTTTGACTGTCATTTTCCATAATTAAAAAGGAGAGCTGCCTGGCAATACACAGAGAGAGCTATAAAACTTGATTTACACATCCTGAAGTGTAATATTGTTTCATATAAATCACTTCCAAAGACCCACTGTGGGGTGACGATTTTGTGGCTTCATTTGAACGAATTTTTTAAAATAATAATTTGACAGACATTCTTCAAGTATCCTGTAAAATAAGATAAGAATAACAACAACTGCCATAACATTTCTGACTTTCAGTAACATCATACTGTTTCTTGTTTGCATTGCCATTGTTGTAACATATCACATGCCATGTTAGGATATAGAGTATTTCATGAAGCCACAGAGAGCAGTGAAAGCCAACTGCTGGTGCGGCACTCTGCTGGATGTTACTGATCCACGAACTAAGCCCGTGAAGCCATGCATATATATGTGTAAGACAATAGCTTCTGTAAAGCACCTCTTGCTGTTATACTGAGAGGGGGGAGTACGCTCCGTTTCCACACCTGTTGCCCTGGCCCCTAAGGGACAGGCTATCTCCATCACCCTCATTCTTTGCTTTCCAACAGCCCAGGCTTTGGCCAAGCTCAGCTACATCATCATGAAGCCTTAGTGCCCACACCGATAAGGCCAAGCTATACCTGATTAAATCCAGGGGTTTAAGGACTTTACATTTCATTGCACTCCCAATGTGGAACTTTTCCAAAGGAAGCAAGAACTGATTTGGGAAAATAAGAGCCCAAACTGAAAAAAAAAAGAGAGAGAGAGAGAGGGAGAGAGAGAGAGAGAGAGAAAATCATATTTATAAAACTGAATATGATTTGGAAAAGAAAATAACCACAAACTCAGGCATTACACCACATTTAACTGGAAGACATATGATTATTGAAGAGCTTAGAGGTCTTTAGTTTGATGTTTAGACTCTAGTTTTACTTATTTTGGCAACCATGAGCATTTTAACTGCATGCACAGAGTTTACAACGGGGACCTTTTCATGTTTCTTTAAATATTCAACTTCTTAGTCTAGAGTTTCCACTTAATATGAAATCTCATTATTAAAACTGGTGAATGAATGTTTTGCTGAATCAAACATTTTGCAAAGATGAAAGAAAAGTGTGATGTAAACTGTCTTTGGAGTTTGCATTAGCTCGCTCTCTGCAGATTGGATCCAGAGCTGGCAGGAGAAAAGGAGACCGGGGATCTTCATGTTTTGGTATTGATTGTAAAAATTAGCATGGGAAGAGACAATGTGCCCTCAGGTTGGTAGAGATGAAGCAGTCCTAAATTTTTTACCGTAGAGCTTTGAAGTTGTATCATGGAACTGCTGACGGCCAGCTCTCATCGCTGCATTTTCTTTAACTTTTTTTTTTCTGTGCAAACAGACACAGCGTGATGGAGTATAATTGGAACCATCTTTAATACAAACCACAGAAGCATAAATAATTGAATAAAATCGGCAGAGGTTTTTTGAAATGCACCAGCAAATAAGTCTACAATGTTTTTCTCTGTCTTTTGGATCCATTCTAGGAAGGCAAAATTCTGTGGTGGAGAAAAAAGTGGAGGAGACTCTGGTTTTGGCTGCTTGAAGTGGGCCTGGCTCGCGTGTGGCTTGGAGGAACCAACGCGCTGGCAAACCATGTGGAAATACTGTGCATCAAACACCAACAAGGCTCATAACACATTGCTTCCAGTCTGGCATTAGAACACACATATTTAGCTTTAAATGAACATACTTCACCCATAAAGTGCTTGCCTTGAACCAGAAAGTTCAGATGAGGCTGAAATGTACAACATCTTATTAAAAAAAGCTACATCATTCTCCGACTCAGTCTGCCAGCACATCTAAAAGCTGCCTATTGTTTTTTTGTCATCATTCTTAACCTGCTCTCTCCTCTCCCTAGTGCTGATTGGCTGCAAAGATTGACCTGCATGCATAAAAAGCCAGAGAAGACCATGGGGTCAGAACTCTCTCTCATTCTCTCTGGTCCCCTCATCTCTCTATCAGCACCGGGATTATTCCTCTTTTTTTTTTGCTTATTTATAATTTTGTTTATTAATGAGTTGAGTTGGAAGTCCCGTTTTCAGTTTGGGTTTTATTAATTTTCTTTACTAATGTTAACTATGGGGACAAGCCTGAATCCAAATAGTCGTGTTGTTGGTTTTGTTTGTTTTAGTGGGGGTTCCCTTCTCTTGTTTTCCATGTTTGTAAGAAATGAGTTTCTACAGCAGTGATGGGACATCTTGTAGGTTTGTTTCTTTTTGAGGCATGTATTTCTGGATCCTAATATATTTAGGTGCTCGTGCTACTTTTGTCTCCTTGTTTCACTGATAACTTTCATTGTAATCTGCCGTTGCATCAGTGAAGCTTCTGCATCTGTTACTTTGTGTGTATTTGCAACACTCTGGCTTGGTTATTTTGGGAATATTTTCTCTCTGCCTGTTACTTTTGAATAACTACAGGATTTATGTGAATTATTGATTTTAATTCAGCGATTTATTTTGAGACTTTACTGCAGTTGTATTTTTCTTTTCAGCTAATTGATGCCCTCAGAGCCTTCAGCTTTCAGACTGGAAACATACATCCTCTCCACTTTGAGCTTTAAGATTCAAAATGTTCCTTTTTGATAAAGCTCATATGCTTTTGGCAAGATCAGGTGACCCTGGTCCCTTAGTTATGGTAGTATCGGCTCAGGCTGTTGTGGGACTTGTGAGACACTGAGCGTTTCTTCTCGGCTTACCTCTTTCACTTCCAAGGTGTTAAATAACACTGCAGCGTGTCATTAAATTTTGTCTTCTCTTTCTCTCATAGTTTGTGTTTTGCCCCGTCTCCCTATTCCTTTTTCTCTTCTCTTTCTCCTCACCCCCCAACAAGTTGTGGCAGATGGCCGCCCCTCCCTGAGCCGGGTTCTGCCAGTTTTTCACAAAATGCTTGCTCGTAGAGGATTGTCCGATTGTTATAGGATTTTCTCTCGAAAACTGTAGGGCAGTATAAAGCATCTTCAGGTAATTATTGTTGTGATTTGACACTGTATTAATAGGTCTGAACCAAATTGATCTGAACCTAATTTTTAGCTCATGGCTCATTGAGGAACTTGTCCTCTACATTTTGTTGCGTTTTTTATGTCTGAGCTGTGTTTTTAACAAAGAAATGTGGTTTCATTTAGAGGGCTTTGCCGTTTTGCCGAGCCTTGATAAATTTAATCACTGCATTAAAGATCCTTTGTTGGCTATCGCTGCTCGTTTTTCTGTGCCTGTTCAAAGAATCTAAAAAGAAAGCAATCAAATCTGAACTACGGACTGCTATGGTATGAATATTTAAATGCTACGATAAAAACGTACAAAGAACACCACAAGTGTGTGGAGTTTGTTATTTCTAAATTCAAGGGATTTCCCGCTCTGCAGAGCAGGCAGGCTCAGTGGTTGATCTTTTGGCCTGAGAGTGAGAAACAAAAACACTGACTACCATCATAAAAAAAGCTTTCATGGGAGAGTGAGCAAATAAGCAAAATTAAAAGCATTTAAACAATTAACCTTATCGACTTTTAAAGAAAGGATAGAGGCACTAAGTACAACAGAGGCTATTACAGGTTAATCATAGAACAGCTGGGAGGGAAGATCTATTTAATAAAGAACTAGGACGATTATTTGTTCTGTTTTTTTTTTACTTCTTTCTTGATTTAAACACTGATGTCAAACTGCAAACTTTTCTATTTAGTTCTTGAAAAAAAGTGCTACATGGCACAATCTGTGGCACTGAGATAACTGTAATGTTGTGACTGTTATTTCAATGTAAATATGTGACCAAAAACTACATTTAAAAAAATCTTTTCCACGCTTATAAATACTTAAATAATAGCTTAAACGAAATCTTCACTGTCAGAAGTGGCACAAAGTAAAAGCAGGCACTTACACTGTTGTCACTTGACCCTGACACAGGGTAGACAGTCCAGCCGAGCTCCGCCGTGGCTGTAGTGGAGTCCATGAGTGTCTCTGTGGAGAGCCATAAGAAGAGATGGCAGACACATAACATTACTGGGGTTGAATATGAACTGCTTGAGTCAGACAAACAATTTAAGGGGAAGTCTACAGTATGAAATGTCAAAGTGTTTTAATGCTTACTGAAACATCTGAATATTTCTTTATATTATAAAGGACTGTTTAAAATGTGCTGGAAAAAAGGGGGGAGGGATTCCAGATTCAAATCAACATAATTGTAAAGAAATTCTAACACTATATTCTTAGACTAAGTGCACTTTAGTTTTAGATTACCACCTACAAAGACATCAGAGACAACTAGAGTAATATTGGGAAAAAACAACAGTTGATTCAGCAGCTGGATATCAGGAAGCAACAATTTTATTGTTCGAATGTTTTCTGTTCCCATTCTCATTTGTCTAGTCAATAAAAAGAGCACTAGTTACATTGCTATAAGTTTCATAACAGCTGTGGTATTATTTGTATGACTTTATAGAAAGAATAGAGCTTAGAGCTCAGAATAACAAAAAACAAATACAATAGAATCTCCATGACATAGAATAGAGGCTACATCCTATACTGCACTGTATATGAGGGAGAGAAACAACTCTGGTAATTGGGGTCAAACAGAAATGTGCCTCCTATCTGTCATGAGGTCATCTGTGCTACACATGCCTCCAGCTTGAACCAACTGTCTGTCATATGCTTACTGAGCCATTGGCACAGTCGCCTCCTTTGCTCCTTTTGCTTAATCTCTGTACCCATGCCCTCACGCCTGCCTTTCCACCACTTCCTCTCACTTGTGCCACACACTTTAACAGAGGGCAGGTCTAATGAATTTCTTCAGCTCATTATGCCTGTGTCTGTCTTGTAGACTAGTGTTGAACTGCAGCAGATGTAGAGACCATTCATCAGGTTCAAGGCGTCAGCTGCAAGTCCAAAATGCCACAGAGGGATTTAGAAGCCCCCTTGACAAACACGGCTACTAAGCTTAACATAAGTCACAGCCAGTGATTGTTATGCAGGGCCAGCAGACAAATGCTTGCTGTGGCTCTTCATTATCATTGTTGAATGGACTGATGGACTAGGTGCTAACAGTGTGGGTTAATTAAAAGTAGAGTCAAGGTTGGATAGATCTGTTTTTTAAATTTATTTATTTATTTTTTACGAGTAATAAGATGAATGAAATCAAAGCCAGAGAGGATCTCTGTCTCACAGGACTTTGTTCAGCCCTGTGCATACTCTGAACAAAATCTGTAGCTCTGTAGCAGCCTGCAAGAAATGTTGGAGATTTAAAGTTGTTTCATAACCCTGGATTTTCTCTGATTTTTATTCCAGCAAAGGCAGCAGCTTTTAATTAACAGGTTCCACACACGCTGGTTTATTTCAGGGCCTTGTGCCGACTTTCAGCATCGCACCAGCACTCAGAAGACATAATACCAGATTTCGCATCCTATTCGGTTATCACAAAGTCTAAATCTTATAATTAGGCAGATAAGACTGCAATTGAGCATCTATTGATAACCTTGTGTGTGACTCAGAGCTGAGGAGTCTACATGGGTGTTAGGGAGTGAAATGGTAATTATCCCCCATAATGATAACGATAATTAGTGGAAAGTAAAGTGAGAATAATGAACCCCCTCTGTGGTGGTTAGGGAGTGTTGTGGGGGAATGAGGAGGAAATTTCCCCAGGAATGTAACACTCCAGCCTCCTCTTTCTCTTCTTCTTTTCTCTCTCTCCCTCCATTTGTTGCTTTTCAGTATCCCTCCCTTCACACTATACCGCTTCATTCATTCTCCAATCTCTCTCTCTTCCTTCTCTCATAGCACACCTCCTCTCAACCCCTTCTTCTCTCCTTTATGCTCAGACTCTCCAGCTATCAGCAGCCCACATGCTGGAAAAGTAGAACCTCTCCCTGAAAGACTGATCACTTTTCTTCCTCCTGCTGTCTACACTCCAGTCCGCGGCAGCCACACCGATTCATTACCTCCCGTGGAGCAGAGCGGCACATAGCTCTCCACCGTCAGCCACTGCCTCGTTTTCAGTGTGAACCCCCAGCTGTGGCAGAGCATGGCTGCTCAGCACGACCCTTTGGCTATTAATCAAAAAGAGGACATGGTACAGAGGTTCTCATCTAAATCCAGCAACAGGAATCACTTATTTTGGTTTGTTCTTGTGGGCAGTTGTTTACAGTGTGAGGATTTGAATTCTGACACTCTTGGGAATAGCACTGACGTATTGATATCAAGCTACCGCTGGTTCGTCTGGTTGTTATGATCGGTACCATTGGGGTTGTTTCCAGCCTCAGAATGGGCAAGTTGGGGGCCCACATACAGTTAAGGCTTATTAACAGACAGGCTTTGTTTTGGATTTTACTGCCACTTTTAAATAGTTAAAATAACAAAACACAAAAGAAAGAAAAATTACCATTAATAAAACCCTCAAAAATTCCTCTATGAAGAGAAAAAAAAAGCCTTCTATGAATAAAGAGGTGCATTAATATGATCACTGTCAACAAAACATAAAAAAAAAAACCCAAAGAAAAGTATAAAATCAGGTACAATCAATCAGGGCAAGTTTTATTAAAGGCCTTTAATTAGATGATTTAAATGATGATTTAAAATGCCTAAAAGACCTCACAAGACTTCCATTAGGCCTTTAATAGAAAAAACAGATTAATAACACATGGTGCTCACGTTACAATGGAAGTCTAAATTACCTGTCTGTCAACTAACTCAATTACAGGATATCAATCAAGGTATATTTGAAACATGTGTGTTAAATAATGACTATTCTCTTTGCTATATTTGACTGAAGAATATTTCCTGTTCTGTGAAAAATGTTATCAAATTTAAAAGCACCCCAATGTGGGCTTATTAAATATTAAAAGTGACTGAGTACTTGGTGTGTACATTATTTCTTCATTTGGAAAAAAAAACAAAACAAAACAAAAAACTTTTTTTGTGAAAAACTTTTTTAGACATGCGTTTTGTAATTGAGAAAAAAATTTAGCATGGGAAGAAACTTCCCCCCAATCGCTCTCTTAACTTAAACAGTCATTAAAAGATTGTAGGATTTTTTTTCCCCCCCCAGAAAGTCTTCCAGATGATCTCTTCATTACCAAACAAGTTGGCATTTTGCAATATATCCCCCTAACACTGGAAACTGTGTAATGGATTTTTCCAACACCAGAATCTGTTGTTCAGAAGGACACAGATCTGATGACAAACTGCAGCCTCTCAATTTCCCACTTACAGCAGAGAGTGTCTTTGTATTGTTTGTGCGGCAGCTGAGGGATGCGGCTCGTGGGAAAATGGACACCTTGTTGGCGGTCGAAAACAGCAACGATATTTCTCTCGACAAAGAAATGCTTTCAAATATGAAGCATTAATGAGCAAACCTTTCTCAGATCACAGACAGCGACAACAATTTGACAGTAAATAATTAAATGTTGGATGTCTTTTTTCCCCCCCATTTCAAACCTGATACCCTTGACTTTGGAGGGTACTATGAATATGCAATGAGACCTAGGAATCTAAGAAAAGCCTACTAGGCTGAGAGTGCTTCCTCCAACACTTCCTGAGACTAAGGAGAGAGTTTAGTGCTGATCTGAGAGAGAGCTCTCCAGTGAGAGGCTGTCTGAAGTGACAGGCGGGGGGAGTGGAAGGGGGGAGGGAGGGGGCAGTGGTACTATAACAACACTCTTCTTCTCTAAGAGGGGTCAACGCTGCATCTCAGCTTTCTAAAGAAAGCAGCAGCATTTTCAATGAGGGATACAGAGAAGAGCTGTTCACAGAAAAGACATTTCAGCTGAAACAACCGTAGCGAGAAAGAAAATAAACATTTTGAACATGCAAATGTGTGCTGAAAACTTCAGACTGAGAGGAATCTAGTGTGTACACTATTGTGTTCAAGGACTAATGAATGAGAGGAATAAATGATATCATTGATAGGTGCTGTGTAAAATCTTTTCATGCATTATTCTTTCTTTCTGCAGAAGTTGTGGTCCTGGTATTTCCTTTTCCCCTTTTTCACAGTCGGTTTGTACTACTGCGTGAGCACTCATGAGTTGGCCAAAGGGCATAGAAATTAGTTTTTGATAGATAGAAAACCAATTAGTTAGAGGAGACAGAATCCCGCAATCTGAGTGATAGATGGCTCTCCTGCCAAAGTTAATCTTTAAACTAAACCCGTACACCTTTTCCCAGGGCAGGTAACACAGAGAGCACAGCTTTTCAAATAGAAAGCCGTCTCCTGGCTTTCAATCACATACAAGTACATAGTGTACATGCTGTTACACGCTCATGTGTAATTATACAGTGAGATATTTCTCCTTCACTTTCTTTTTGCAGCATGAAGAACCCAATTGACAAATTGCTTTGCAGCTTATTGCATCACTGTTGAAAGAAAAATCCTGCATATAAATTAGTCTGACATGGTAGCTTTAAACAGAGTCAAAGAGAACATACAGATTGTTTTCCCCCCCCAAACAAACCAGCCTATATTTAGACCCTTTAGGTTTAATGCGAGTATTTTAAAGATGCAATTGACCTCTAAAAACAGCATGAAGCAGCTTAGAAGCATGACTTCTTTTTATCTTTCTTGCAACCAGAACTGTAGCCTCTACTTTGAATGGAACAAATCCCTCAACGCTCACTTCAGCATCGGCATAAACCGCATATGGCTCTTTCCGTTGCTGTGATAATGTAATCTAACAGAGCTAAAAAGCAGCTAAACATTCTCCTCATAAAATCCAAGCTGTGTAAAGTTCAGTTTAACCACTGTTGAATTCTGCATGTGTATCACGTTCTACTACACTGAACACCTGAAACCACAATATTTAATGGCAAATGTGGGAAGATTGTAGTATGCAGTGCAGTTGTAGAGTAACATGAGCAAGCTGTTCCTAAAAACAGAATCCTATAGAGTGGACCCAGCACGGAAATCTGCCCAGATTAAGGAGAAAGGGAATGATATACCCTTGAGGGAGCCACTGCTAGTGCAGAGACATGAT